GCTCGTGTTCGTGTTCAGCCTGCTGGTACACGGCGCCAGCTACCGCTCCATGACGTCCATGGCAAAGCCGTCTTTCACAGAGGACGGCAGCCTTGCTGACGGGGGGATTGACCTCAATATGGAGCAGGGGATGGCAGAGTGAGTGTCCACACCCGCACGAGTCCAGGTGAGCAGGATCTGCTGCTGCCTGAGCGTGCAAGGAGATACTGCAGGGGTAGAGCCAGAGCTCAGCTGGCCACATCCAGGCTGGCTCCCGGTGCATGCGTGCGAGGAGCTGGAGCTGCTCTCCTTAGGGGTTAAAGGCATTCTGGCTTTAACCATTTGTTTTTCTTTACAAGACTGCACTTAACAGCCTCAAGGCAGCTAATGGGGCCCAGGAGCCTCAGCAACGTGACGTTCACTCTGGAACCTACTGCCAACAGCAGCACCAGGGAGCCTCGGAATTGGCTCTTGTGGCTCCTCTCGGGAGGTTCTCTCTCGCAGAGCGTTAACTCTGGAACCTACTGACAACAGCCACCCCCGAGTGCCTCCGGATCACCCAGAATGGAGCTATTGCAGCTCCCCCTCAGTAGGTTCCAGAGTTACTGCACCCAAAGGGGACGGGAGCAGTGTTAACTCTGGAACCTACTGACAACAGCCCCACCACAGAGCCTCAAAATGAGCTATTGCAGCTCACTTTAGTAGGTTCCAGAGTTAACATATCCACAGGGCACCTGTGCAGCGTTAACCCTGGAACCCACCGATGACAGTGCACCCCGTGCTTCACTTGGAATCAAGTTATTGTGGCTGTCATCAGTAGGTTCCAGGGTTAACGCATCCACAGGGCACCTGTGTGGTGTTAACCCTGGAACCTACTGATGACAGTGCACCCCATGGCTCACTCGAAACGAAGTTATTGTGGCTCCCCTCTCAATAGGGTCCAGGGTTAACGCATCCACAGGGCACCTGCGCAGCGTTAACCCTGGAACCTACCGATGACAGAGCACCCCGTGCTTCACTTGGAATCAAGTTATTGTGGCTGGCATCGGTATGGTACCCGTGCTAACTGATCCGTGGACGAGTGAGGTGACATTGTCAGTGGAGATGATTGACACATTTGAACATAGGATTCTGTTGGCCTGTTGTGAAGAGATGACAAGCGCAGTTGTAGCACCTCTGCACTGCTAGTTGTAGAGGCAGAACTCTTGCTGGTAGGTATTGGGGTCACCAAAGTATTTCTGTCTGAGCACTACACGGTAGGCCTGATCTTTCTGGTAGCTGAAAGTCAACTCTTCTTTGTCTGAAGAAAATGGTAGGGGCTGTGGAAAATATAGTGCAGCACAGAGACAGTGCTGTAGAAACACAGACTGCACTGTTGAACTTACCATTTTATTCTTGCCCAGTATTGGTGTATGCAAGCCTCTTCAGAGCCTTGAGAGTGCAAGTCCTTCAGTATTTTAACCCCTTTGGTTCAAGCGTGGCAGGTATACAGGTGCTACCTGTTAAATGAACATTCAGTGCTCCTCCCACTATGTGGCAATTTGTCATGTGAATTACTCAGAATTGGCACTTCATAAATCAGGGAAAACTAAGTGAGAGGTGACTTGCAGAAAGCAATAAAAAGCGTGCTGACATTTTCCGGCATGTTGGACTGGGCTACAGTTAAGGCCTATTCTTTTGAAGCTGCTGATGTGAAGGTGTTTCCCTTATGATGTTTGTAACTGTGCATTGCTCCAGGATTGAGGAAGGCTGATCTTACGGTGTAGGGATTTACTGGTGTCTTTGAAGAGTTGGGTTCAGTGGGAACTCAAATGTCCGAACCTCGGTATCACAGACCTGCTGATGGTAAATTCTGCAGTGTCTTGAGTGCTTGATGTGGTAATGATATTCTGCTCTAAAGAGTTGGTTCTGGTGCTGTCTAATCTCATGTTTTGTGCTGTGCTGCTCAGAATGAGGCAGGCTAACTCGTTACCATTGCTTTCTTAACTCCCTTCTTGGATGTGTCTTGAGTGTTTTTTACTCCAGCAGATAATGATATAGTGGGAGTGAAGGCGTTGGCATTTTTCTAACCCATCCCATCATGGCACTGTGTGGCTTGTGTGGAAAAGCAAATACCTGTGTGTGTGTGTGTGTTCAATGTGATATATTCTCCTAAGCACAGTTCCCGTGGGAGGGATACCTGTGTGTGTGTGTGTTCAATGTTCTCCTAAGCACAGTTCCCGTGGGAGGGTAGTATTTGAGATGTGGGCAGCTTGTCCCTGCCCATGGCTTCTCTCAGTGCTGTCTTGGGTTTGGAATGGAAAATCCCAGCGCTGGATGAACAGGAGCTGTGTTGCTGTAGCTCAGCCTGTGGATGATAGTGTGTTTGTCCTTACAGCACCCCATTTGGTGACAGTAGGCACAGCCGAGTGTGTCTGTCTGCAGAAGAACTAGCGGTCAGCATGGGAAATGGCACAGTGAAGATTCTTGCTTTCCCCTAGTGCAGCCAGCCACAAGCATGTGAGCGACTATGTTTTATGCCACAATATTGTACTAACAAACAGGTGCCTGCTATTGCCGCAGGCTGCTGGGAGGTGTTTTGTTGCTGATATTCCCCTTGCATTCCTCAGATTTCTCAGTGTCCCCTTTGGGTGTGGGGGGGTTGTACTTCCAGGTGCTAAAGAGGGCTGGACTTGTCAGATTTGTTGTTGTTGTTATTGCTATGCTTCTTTCTGGATTAACTCACGTAGCAAAATGCTACGTGTTGTAGGGACGGATCCTTTGTCTGGGACCAGGCAGGGTTATTTCCTGAAGTGCAGCAGGAGCTGGAACTAGGAGTTTCTGCTTTTCTTTCCCCAGGCACCTCAAGGATGTGATCCTGCTGACAGCTATCGTCCAGGTGCTGAGCTGCTTCTCGGTCTACGTCTGGTACTTCTGGCTCTTGGTAAAGCCTGCAGCTTTCTCTGTTGCTCTAAGTTGTCTCTGTCTTTCCCTGTTTTCAGAACTGAGGACATCCTTTTATTGATCCATTTTATCCTGTTTTAGGACAAAGCTGGTTTCTGCTAAATTGTGTAATCACCCCATCATATCTTGTTAAAAATGAGACCATAATACAAGGGAAAGGGAATTTATGAGCACTCTGGGTAGAACTCATAGTTAACCACGCTGGTCGTGACCTTTCTCTCTAGCTGTGTGTAAGGGCAACAGAAAACATGTGGCAGATTAACTGTGCAGAGCTGTTTTTGATGCCTTTTTATGACAGTCTCATAAACAGACTGTATCGCTTCATGTTGGCTCTTCATACTCAGTCACCTGCACCGACCGAGGCTGGGAACTGCTGCACAGTCTGCTGTTCAGTAGATCACACTCTGCAGGTTTTGATGCCATTAAAATACCGGACACTTTTAACTCCTGAAACATTTGTCCAGCTAAAAGAGCTTTTGCAGAAGGATTAAAAATCTCTGAACAATCAATTACAGAAAAACAAACAAACAAACTCACTCAAGGAAACTGTGGTTTGTCTCGTGAACATGTATAAGGCAGTCTTAGAGGCAAGACATCTTGTTGTAGCCCTTACTCAAAGTTCTTTTTGTGCTGATCTTGGCAGAGGGCAGCCCTGACTGTGACTATCCCAGATGCTGCAGGGATCATGTTCTTTCAAAGAAATACTGTCCTTCCTGTAGGAGGGAGAGGCTGGATTTATGCAAGGCTGGGTAATTCGGACCTGATGCTGGGATTTCCATATATAAAGCCTAAGTGCTGTGCTTCCAGAGACATATGTAAATTCATAAATTTTATGAAATTAGGCCATTTATTTTGGCTGCCTGCCACTGCCTTTGATTTCAGTGCAGCTTATAGTGCCCCCGACCCAGGCTGCAGACTTTTGCCAGCTCCCTTGGCTTCTACAGGAACATCTCTCCTGACCTCAGAGCTGCATCCAGAGTGAGTGTTTGCTGCCATGTGTTTTGCAGGCTCCAGGGCGCGCACTCTATCTCCTGTGGGTGAACATCCTGGGGCCCTGGTTCACAGCAGACTCTTCGGCTGCCAGTCAGGAGCCAAATGAGAAGAAGCAGCGCCGACAAGAACGTCGTCAGATGAAACGCTTCTAATCCTGGCTGGGGAGATGGATTAATGCTGGCTCTCATCTCCATGCTGTTACTTCATCAGGGATGCAACTGAAGCCAATCAGAAACCATCACAGTATCCATGTTGCCCTGTCATTGCTGCCATTTCATTGTAAAGGCTGCAAGAGACTACCCTTGGTTGGTTCTTAGTGCCAGTCGAGGCCTTGCTCCTGTAGTGACAAGGGTGGGTTATGCTGGGATGTGTGTAAATACCTTTTTAAAGCAGTGCTGTATTGCAGTGTTGGGAGGAAATACTATATTAAAGAGCAGTCTAATTGACCTCACTGGTGGTGTTTGTAGTGGGGGAAAGAAGGGTGGGCTGGCAGAGGATGAGCTGTTATTAACATATCCCTGGAGGGCTAGGCCAGCGGAAAGTTAAATCCCCAAGAGATCCTGTCTCTTAGCTCACTGCAGGCCACAGGGTCCACTCCCAGCTGAGTACCAGAGGGTGGCAGCTGGGGGTACCTGAGCTGAAAAAGGCCTTTGTGTTGCAGCCCCTTCCTCTTGCAGACATCCAGCTCTGCTTTCAGCTACTTTGATTTATTAACATTAGCTCTGCTTAATATTTGCTTTGCAGGCTCCAGCAACCCCTTCCCACTCGTGATCCAGCAGTGTGGAGACATGCAGCCTTGTCCAAGCAAGATGCATGGTCGCTATGTTAATAGTGGCACTAGTCTGGCTTCTGTAGTCCAATACCCACCATAATCTGTCACCCACAGGTACTTTCCATTACACAGTTTTATTACACATTTTTTCCTAACATCAAAGCCCAATCCCCATCCTGAGTCTTCCTGTGCCTCAGTGCCAGGCAGAGCAGCTATGGGAGGTAGGAGCGGGCAGAGCGACGGTGACAGAGGACAGGGCAAAGAGCAGGGGGGAGGTGGTTTAAAGCCCTCAATGAGGGGAGTAATGAGTGAGGGGGAAGCCCATAGCTGAGCGTGGCTCCAGGCCAGCCGTGCTCCCTACCAGGGCTTACTGTGTCTCCTGGCCTTGAACTCAGCCAGAGCCTCTGCAGGAAACACCCTGTGGCACCCTCAAGGTCCTCCATCCTCTTCCTTGTGTGACCAACCCTGCACAGTCCTGGGCCCAGTGTGGCTCCCCTGCTCTGCCCTCATCCCTCTGGACCATCTTAACATGCTTTCTCCTACAAAAAACCCCCACAACCATGGAGTAGTTGAGCTGCCCCGGCATGCACAGGAAGCGAGGAGTCAGGGGGAGGCCTATCAACAACAACCACACTGGCCTTCTCAACCGAGCTACCCTACACAGCGATACATGCATGTTGGCCCCTTCCCTGCCCTGCCCTATGAAAGGGACAGAGGCCTAAGCTGTGCTGTCTCCTCTGGGCAAGGACTGGCTCAACAGCCTCAATAAATATCAAATAAATAGAGCCTGGGGCGGCAGGCACTGGGAGAGCCATGCTCCGGCACACGGGCACTGGCTGAGAGGGGCCAAGCCCAGCAGAGTCCCAGGGCTGAGAGCCAAGAGCCGCTCAGTCCGGCAGCAGCTGCTCCAGCTCCTTCTCATTCAGCCTGTTGGTGGTGACAATGTGGTCGAGCTGCTTCATGTACTGCTCCAGGTCCTGCATGAAATGGGGGATGCGGGTCTTCTCCAAGACCCCAAATTTCTTCAGGCGATTCACATCTTCATAGGAGACCTGGTGGGAAGCAGGGAGATGTGTCAGACTGAAACCTGCAAGCTGCGAAGAGGAGGTGCAGGGCAGGAGGATGGGTCTCATATCCACTGCTCCCTCCAACACATCCACCCCACACATCCCTGCCTACCAATGCTGCAGGATCTCCTTCTGGCTTGCAGGGTGGGGGGCACGTGTGGGGAAGGGACTGGTTCGTGTTTTCCATCACGCCATGCTCATGCTGTCCTTCCACACTGCAAACCTAACCGTTCCTCGTTATCTGGACAGCCATAAGTGGACGTAAATGTAAAGAGCTTAACACGTTTCAGCCAAAGTGACTGCTTAATCTCCATTTCAGAGAGGCGAAGGAAGTAGGACATGAAATAATCACAAAAATTGTGGCACCTATTAGGAAGGGGAGATGCAGGTGGCCCATCAGCATGCTTTGATGGCAGTTGAAGCTCAGGCTGAATTTTGGAGGGAAAAAAAAATATATAGAATCACAGGAAAAAAAAAAAAGTCCCCAAATTTTTCCATCAAGGCAAAAAATGCCTGCAATGGGCTGAGCCAGGACCTGCCTTTCAGAAAACACATCAGCAAAGGAGCTGCGTTAGGACCCTGTGGCTGAGCTTTGGGAAAGCACACAGGTTAGCTGGGGCGGGTTAGAGCTAAATATGAGGGGGTTGGGAAGGGGTGTTGAGCTCTTATCCAAGTTGTTTTGGAGTTAAGTATGGGCCTAAAAGGCAGTGAGACTGCCTCAAAACCACTGTATGTCCCTGTTGCTGTGGTAAAAGCCATGTTTGGCGTCCCACCACCTCCAAGCCCAGCCACCCAGAACGGCTCACAGCCCAGCATGGCCTCCTGGCCCAGGAGCCATCCCCTCTCCCAGCGTGGTGCTGGGCACCAGCTATAGCAGCTGCCCCAGCCTTTTACCTTTCCGAGTGCGGCCAGCAATGGAAAATCGATGGTCTGACGATGTCTCAGGATCCGGAGAATCCCATCCAGGTAAACTTGATCCTTACTGAAACAACCTGGGACGGAGGGAGGGATGGAAGTAAAGGGGACTTGGCTTAGGATGCTGAGCTGGTGTGAACCAAGCGTGCCAGGGTCCACACATTGTCGGGTACCACAACCAGTGCTGGCCAGGGCACTTAGCATGGAAAACAGAGATGCCAGAAGGGGAAAAGAAAGGATGAGCCCCCTCACCCTGGGTAACTGAGCTGAAGAAGAGTACATGGGATCACCAGGGAAATAAGCAAGCTGAAGAGGTAGGTGGAAGGATATCCATCATGGACAAAGATGATGAAAAAGTCCAAGGGAGAGAAGTCAGGGCTCAGGTTGGACCAGGTGATATGTGAAGGAGGAGCTGAACCTGTATCTCCCCTCTGGTACATGAAGAGTTCCCCCAGGAACAGAGTTATGTTCTGGAGTGTAATAGGATGGACAGAAAGGAAAAGGCGCAAAGGACAAGCAAACTCAGCCTTGCCAACCAGTGCTGGGTAGACGTACAGGCAGCTATGTGCAGTGAGACTCAAAACTGCAAAAGGCCTTAGGGCCTAGGCAGTGTCTCACCACAAGAGCTGGACAAGCTTTGGCACTATTTTTTTTTAAATATCAAACCACTGAAAAAATAAAAAGCCTCCTGCAAATGTTTATCTCACCTCAGCTCTCCTTTGGTTGCTCACCTCCCTGTGAATTGCTGTAAGTCACTCTATGCAAATGCATGGAACTGAAAACAGATGCATGAACTGGAGGAGCCAGAGCGCGGTGATGCTACTGGACCACATTTGCAGAGGTTGCTGTTGTAAAGATAATTACTTATGCAATGTAAATCCATACAAAGCGGAACAGGGAATGAGGTAGTGTCAGGGAGAGGGGAGGGCAGTGCTGCTGCTTTGGGGGCTGCCTCAGTGGTGTGCCCCCATTTGAAATCCCCTCCCAAACTAACGCTTTCTCTCCATCTAGCTTTACCTGGCTGAGACGTGTCTGTCTGGCCTCTCTTTGCCCGCACGCAGTACTCCCACCGGACCCCAGCGTCCTGGACGTACTGCTCCAGGTCCTGGAAGAGGGCAGAGAAGGAGAGGCGGCTGGCCTGGTGGATGGTGTAGTAGAGCAGGGCTGCTCGCCACAGGAAGGGCTGCTTGCGGAAGAGGACGCTGTGCAGGCTCGCCAGCCCCTCCTCAGTGGGGTTGGCAGGCTTCAGGCTGTACTGCTTACGGCCCTCGGAGCTGTGCCAGGGCTGGTGGGTGTTGTTAACCCCCCGGATATAGTGGGTACCTGGCAGGACAAGGGCGAGAGCTGTCAGACCCACCTCTCTCAGGACCTTGGGCTGGCACCCATGGGTGCCTCAGCCCTGCTTTGCTGCTGTAACATTTCTGTAGCATCCTCTCCTGCACCAGGGCTGCGGGGGAAGGAGGTGTCCCCGCTGGGGCACCCCCAGGCTCAGCGTGGGCATGGAGCTGCTGGTGCTGCATGGCAGCGCAGTGTGAAGCAGGCACATGCCTTTCTGCCCTGCCTTCACAGAGGGATCCCAGGGCCCCCTTCAGATCCTACCTGCAGTGTCATGGCCCAGGAGGACACTTCTGGAACACCTCCTTGTCATAAGACACTACTAGTAGGAACAGTTTGCAGAGCCTCAAAAAGAGACTGGACAAATGCATGGGAAGCAGAGCCATAGAATCACTAAATACAATAATAAGCACAGTGAGCCCAGGAAGCCATCAAGCAGAAGAAAGCTGGGGTCTGACAGAGCATGTAGAGAAGCAACATCTCTGCTTGCTGTGTGCTCCCTGCTGCTGGGGAGAGCTCTGCATACACCCTGCTGCTGCGCGGCCCCCTCTGCCTGGCTGCGGCCCCCATGGCCCTGAGCCTGGCTGCTCCACATCAGGCCCTCTCTTGCAGCAGGGCTGGAAGCAAGGCCATCACCTGGGTGGCTGTCAGGGATGCTTGCAGCATCCTCCCTGCACCGCTGCAGCCCCCGTCGTGCCTTGGGGTGCTGGTGCAGCACACGCATTGCTGCAGGCAGCCCGCGGCGCGGCCCTGCTCACCTATCTCGTGGCGCAGCATGCCCTCCAGCCAGTACTGCCGCGCTCCGGACAGGTTGATGGCCAGGGTTGGCCGGCTGTCCTCCACCATCATCACAGCCTGCGACAGGAGGTCGTCGGTGAGCTGCACCACCACCTGCGGAGGGAGAAGGAGAAGGTGAGCAGCATCAGCACCTTGCATTGGAGCAAACGCAACCCCCTTGGCGGAGCCACGCTAAGCAGAGGCAACCAGAGGAGCCCGTTACTGCCACGGACAGCCCTGTGCTACACAGCTACGGAGCAGCTGCTTTCTCTTGGGCTCTCATTATAGCTCATCAAAGCACTCTGAGGAATATATGACTTTTTAATGCAAAGGCAGGTTAGTGCAGGAGGCAGGTATCCAGAGCCTCAGTCTGTGCTGAGCCTTTCAGGAGGACTTGAGCATTCCCTCCCCGCCATCCTGAGCAGTCCTCCCCAGCATGTTTTCAAAGGCCATTGGAAAATGGTTTAAGCTGTTCTTCGAAAGGTTGGTATACGTAAAGAAGCTCCCAGCTCAGTGCGGAACCTGACCACCACAGCTCCAGCGGCTGTAGGAGGGACAGGCTGAGAAGTGGGGAGGCATTTCAAGAAATCTTAACCAGTGTTTTGCTGTTATAGAGAGGAAAGCATTCCTCTTGCCATGCTGCGTTATGCAGTCCCATCCCCTTCAGTCTCCATCACTCTGCCTCCCTGCTACAGCGAGTAAGAGGACTTTTCCAAAGCTCCAGGCCCCTCAAACCTCAGTCACCCTTTGGCAGCTCTCTAAGGAATTAGCCCCATCTTCCAGGCTGTGTTTCTGAGACGTGAGAGCCTATGGGATCAAGGGCCACATGTGACTTTCTGTATTTCCAACAGGATGCAGCATCAAATGAGGGAGCCTGCTTTGCCTCTGCCTCCTTTCCCCTCTCTGGGGACCACAGCAGTACTCACACATCCAGGTGGGCACACAGTTACCTTTCTTACCATGTGGCTCTGTAGGATTAATTTGGATTTAGTGGGAAGCACCCTACAAACACAGACCCAGCCTGTGAAGCCCCTCAAGGGGCTGCAGTGGGTTATATGCAGCAAGCAGTCACAGCTAAAATGCCATTTTTCCTTGTGCACTTTTCCTGCTCCCTTAAGGACACTGCTGTTTGGTGCCAGTGTCTGTGCTCTTTCGTGCAGAACTGGTGACTGCAGTCCTGACAGTCCCTAGGCCCCTGACATTTGACCAACAGCTTTTATAAGGAGCATGGGACAAGACACACTGACAGTTTGTGATCTCCACTATCAGGACACCAGCTCCACATGATGCTCAACTAGCAAAACAAGTTTTCTTCTATGATAGCTTTGGAAATGCCTATCTCCTAGCAGCAAAATCATATTCAGTTTGGATGGTCCAACCCAGTGCTGAGACACCACTGACGCAGCCCTCAGGGCTAACGTCAACTGCTTACATCTCATCTTCATCTCTCCCACAGCATCAGAGAAACTCCTCCCACCTTGGATACTGAGGACAGTTTGCTTTTTGTGAAAATCTGCCCCAAAAGAGGTAAGTTACAAGTCCCCAGCTCTCTCTGTTCCCACTCCTGCTAGCCTGGGTCAGTTGTAGAACCCTATCTTCAGGGGTGATTTTGTCTGGGAGGTTCCTACCCTCCTAGCCCTCAAATTCTGCAATCCACAACAGCCTAGTCCTTTGTGGATCAGTGCTGCAAATTGGGTCACTAAAATGACCTACAATAAACAACCTCCAGAGCATGCTTCTGCATGGAGGACCCTTCTTAAGTTGGTGACATGAATCCAGCAAAGCCTTGCAGAAAAAAAAAATGAGCCAGTCCCTCTAAACACATGGCAAGCCACAGCCCGAAAGTGGAACAAGCAGTGACAATTGCACTGCTTTTGCACAAAAGGAAAAAAAAATAGCAAAACTGCTGACCCTAAATTATCCAGAAATACTGCCTTCTCAAGCCACGCTGTGGGCACTTGGCTCTTGCATGCAAGGGCACTAAATGTGTCTCCTTGCAGTGGCACTGAGCACATGGTCAAGACAAAACAGGACTTTGCTTGCAGCTAAACCATGGTATTGTGAAGCCTAAACATGGAGATCCTCTCTCCTTTAATTCCTTTGCTCCTTCTGCCAGTGCAGAACAGTCTGACCCAGCAAGCAGGTTGGTACAGGGAAGAGCTCAAGGGCCAGGGATTTAAGGAACAGAAGTCCTACAAAGAGATCAGGGAATAAACCCACAGAAGCAGCTGGGAGAGAACACAAAATAACAAAGCGGTCAGGATCCACACATAAGACAGCAGATTACATGAGCATGGAGAACATTAGCATTCCCTATTGCAACATTCCCAGCGCTCAGGCAAAGTCCATCCAGTGCAATGAACATTACATTCAACTACTGCATTTTACCCATCCCCTTTCTGAAGGTCTGCACATAATTGTACTGCATCCTGCATAACTTGCTGTCAAGGAATTTCTTGTTTCGCACATTGCATTAACTCTTTGCTTTGTTACAGGACCAAACTACAAAGTTCTCATAAAAAATACTCCATGAAGGAACCAAGCCTTTGGCTCCATTTGCATGTCTCCCATCCCTACTTCATACTTCTCTTCAAACGCTTCAAGATAAGAGCAATAAGGATCCATGACAAAAGCCATGAGCAGCAAGAGCCAAGACATGCCAACCACAGGCATTGTAGCCGGTCTTTCTGCCTGTGCATTTGCTGGCTGTGATTCACAGCAGGGAGATAAGGACATGCAATTTATTCTCTGCACTAGTTAACCCCTTTCTATAGAAACAAACAGCTGTTTGGGGAAATCAGGTTATTGTGCAGCATAACCTGTAGCAGAAGTAGCATGCACTCCTGTAGCCTTCATCCAGAGATACTCGTGTGAACCTCACAACTCCTGAGCTGGGGTATCTCAAAACAAACCCTGTTCAACTGAGTATATGGGAAGAATTTAATGCAACAATGATGTTCTTCCAAAACACAGTGAGCAGGCTGCTTGGAAATAACAGAAAACCAGAGACAAATGCACTGTCAGCAAAATAATGTATTGACAATCCAACTTCAAATTGATGCACACATTCATACTACTACAGGACAATTCTTATTTGTGTTGAAAAAAAAGAATAAAAAAGGAGCAGAGACAGAATTGGTTTGTTTTAACACAGATTTATTCTTGTGTATGACTGTTTGTTAGAGCCAGAAGTGCAACATAACAGAGCAGAACCTACTACTGGGCAAATTAACAGCATAAAAAGACTGCACTGCAACTGCTTAACTTTACTAGACTGAAAGATAATCCCTCTAACTCAAGCAGAGGAAGAACTTGTCAATTTACTTTCAACCTGTGTGCATCCAATGAGCTCTATTTCTGTTCCACTGAGCAACTGAAAATCAGCAAGTCCTGCACTTTCCCTGCCCTCTCCCACATCCAACCAGGACACGCAGATCGCATCTCAGGACTAGGCTTAGGCACAAGTTTCACTTGGGACAGTTTCCCCCCCACAACACATCTTCTCCATCCCTCACTACTGACACAAGCAGCTGCAAAACTTCCCAAGTCAGACGCTGCTGCTTCTACATTTCTGTAAACAGCCTGGATCAGCACAAGTCAGCATGAGCAGTGAGAGAATCAAAGCCTTTCGCTCCTGCTCCTTCACCCCATCCGTGTGAACACTTACACAGCGGTGCAACAAAATGGGGCAAGGAACTGACCCAAATTATAAGTGGTTTTACTCTCTAGCTGAGTTTTCAGCAAGATCACGAGCTGGCCACATGAGCTGCCATACTGGCACAAGCTCTGGTGGGAAAAAGGCTACCTCTAATAAGCCTTCTAGCTTCTACTTATAGACTGGCCATACAGCAGGAAGGAAATGTCACAGACTCTTCATAGTTGGGAATTAAGGATGTACATATGAAGTAAACATGGTCACTTTTTACTTCCAAAGGCTTACCTTTCCAATCTTTCATTTTATTTTAACTTTTTCTACTGTCTTATACCAGTTCTATGCTACAGGAGTACAATTTTGTGATCTTGTCATTGCAATCCCAAATATAACTAGCTGAGGTTGAAATCCTGGGAAGGGAAGGGGAGGCAGAGGATAGAGTTAATACTTTCTGTTCGGTTGGTTCTGTTTGTAACACAGCTAAGGAGTACGTTTCACTGTGACAGCACTTTTCTTGCTCCATTGAAGCCACTGCTGTTTGGTGCCAGTGTCCGTGTTCTTCAGCGTAGAACCGGTGCCCACACTCCTGACAACCCCCTGGTCTGTAGGCCTTTGACGTCTGTCCTACAGCTTTTGTGAGGAGGACGGGACACGTCACACTCTGGCAGTTTGTGGATCTCCATTGTCAGGACACCAGTTACCGTGCGATGCTCAGCTGGCAGGGAGCGGACATCTTGCTCTCTGGTCGCTCTTCTTTGACCTATGTATATATACAAAAAAAAAAGGTTGGAATTTAGAGTACTAGATCCTGGACAGATGCAGTAAAACTATTTTCCCTAGAATAAATACTCTCATTCTTGAATATGCTTTCTCCCAGCCTATATACACATAGCATAAATATAGAATGCACATATCTTCTACAACTCTGTTTTTCACTTTCAAACTGCACATTCTTGACTACATTATGTTGAGTTCTTCAAGGCATGATTCACAAGTGACATGAATTCAGATGTTTCCAAGTCTCCTCTAAGCTCTAACCCAATCAAAACTGCTTTGTTGTTGGGATCATCCCAATTTGTGGCTTTTGGGAGACTGATGCTCCTGTGGCATCTCCTGAACAGCTCAAGTTTTCCCCAATGCATTTGCAAAATCTAACCCTGCGTGTGACTCTTGAACGAGCACCCACACAAATGCTGGAACTATTATATAATCCCAGCAGTTTAACAATTGTGACAGTTACACAGATAAATGATCTGTGATGTTTTGATGCTACTCATCTCTCCTTTCTGCATTAGTTCCTTAATTTAGCACTGAGAGAGGATATCCAGGCTTTGTTATATATTAAAAATCTGTCCAACATCTGACAATCTCCTTTTCCTCTGCAGTATGGGGAATGCTGTGTCTTATAACCTACACTGCACCTTGGTGTTACTCATGCTGGCTGATCCTTTCATTCTCTTTA